AATAACCCATGTTAGCGAATAATTGTGTAGGATAGGACTATTTTCCTGCTTATCTGAACACATGCAGATGTTGCAAGACAGAATCAATCAATCACGGAGAGCATTTACTCACTTCTGACAGTTCATTCAAACAGGGCTGCGTTTCCCAAAATATCATAAGAAAGAATTGATGCTTTTGGCAACGGCAGCCCAGAACAATGCTTATCAGGGGACAGGAAAAAAAACATATACTGTATGTTTGAGTTATTTCACAATAAACTAATTTAAATTGTAGCCTACATAGTTTGTTCAATTACATTTATTTAAATAGAAAGATCGTGTTCTATTCTGTAATGTTAATATAAATCATACACTTTCAAAATAAAAAGGTTGCATTTTATGCATGCAACAGCCTGTCACTGGCAGTCCCTTATGAAAATGAACCAAAGTTTTACTAAAGTGACCGTAGTTCAACTATAGTATTTGTAGATTTCCACGGTTACCACTACAGTAAACATGTTTTAACCATGTGTAAACAAACATATAACCTAATAAATTACAATTAAGGCATATTGAATGTTAAAATGTGTTTCAAATATAAAGTTATCATTACCCATTTTACTCTTAGTAATTTAATAAATTTCATCATTTAAAAATTCAGTTTAGAGGTATTGAATCGATATCGACGATACTGGCCTTGAAAAGTATCGGTATCGTATTGAACACAAAATAAGTGCTATCGCCCATCCCTACTCTCTGCCTGCCATAAAAGCGCTTGACTATTACATTCTTTAATATATTGTATTTTATTTGTTTCTTTGTTCTGATGTTTACTTCTCTTAATAAGCTTGGGAACATTTTACTTATATTGCTTGTAGGGCCTACTCGTCTGTAACTAGCAAAATAGTCTTAAAAACCAGCATGGATTCACATCTTGGACTGATCAGGCAACATTTAAGAGGGTCCAGTTACCGGAGCGATCGCGCAGGCGCAACGTGGGAATTCAGTGACTTTCTAGCCCATTACCAGAGTTTGCCATTTGCTTCCGGTAACCTGGACTGTGACACCACACAAACAGACAATGAACAACGATACGTAATATGTGCAGATAAGTTAAATAAACGCTTACATGTAACCTTATCTGATGTCTGTGTGTGTTTATTGTGGGATATTTAAGTAGGATGCGGTAATCGGGTGGATATGTGTGTATGCTATGTTATGTATGCAACTGTAACATTAACCTAGCCCTCGTGTGCACCCAAGGGTAGGAAACAGCAGAAAATTGGGGATAAAGGATCGTGTGTGGGTAAAATGTAGTGCTGTTGCGATCATGACAGAGCCCTCTATCACAGACTGGAAATTAGTAAGACCAAAGAATCGGGGCCATCCTTCACATCCCTGGGCAATGGGACTGACCACCGCCTGTCCTTGACACAACATGCCAATGAGATCTATAAAAAGTCAAAATTCTCATTAGTCTAGTCTAGTGTAACCAAGTTCTTACAATCAACTCACTATGATGTTCATGAACATTTTCCTTTTATGCAGGACTTCACTCACGTCCAAATCTGATAAACCTAAAACAAACTAAAGCTGACCAACAACAAGAATCCCAGTCACGACACATTTTGCTTTACAAATGAGTGCCTTTTGCATCTGAAATGGCCTCATAGACTAATGGCCATCCATGTTTGCATAGACATGCTTTACGATGAGACTTTTTGCCATGGCCAATTTCACTTGAGCTCATCAAGAGGGCTGACAAAAATGATGACAGATTCAAGAGGGTGGAGTTAAGGGATGGAAAGAGAAAAATACAGACAGGTAGAGAAAGCAGATGAGAGAAGAGGTAAAGAAAAACATCTCATGAAACCAATTAAGCCAACAAAATAAGAAAGAGAAAACAAGCGTAGTTTGTGTCCTTGTTTGGTCATTGCAGGGTGGAATTAAAGACAGATAATCATCTTCCTTCTTATTTTAAGCGATCTTCAATCTGGTTGTAGTCCTGCTTAAAAGTAACATGTTCATTCCTGGATATCTGTTTTCACTTCTCGGTGAGTATCTCTTTTACTAATAATAGACAATGTTTTCTATGAAAAAGAAGTCTTCTCTTAGATGGACAACTAAAAGGTTTGGTCTCAAATGCTACAATGGTTAAAGTAACCATTAAAAAATCAACAACTTATGCTGTTACGCTCAGTAATTAAACGTTTTAGATCACTATGACAGCTCAGTCCATATAGTACGGTCTAACAACAGATCTTCTATTTTCTAAAATAACAGTGCATCCTTTCCTTGTGCCACTTCTGTTTGTTGTTCTTGATCATCCCTTTTTCAAACAATGTTTTAAGCAAATTAATCCTTTGCATGAGTTAATGGTTAAACTCCAGCATAGGTTTGGTTTTAATTTTAATATAGGGCCAAATTCAAATTAATCTGTACAGATGCACTATAAGCTGATTATTTATTTTTGTTTAGAGTATTTTTTTAAAGTATGTATTGGTGTACTAATATTTGAACACTGATTTGTAAATGATAATATACAGTTGGTTGGTCATTATAAAAAAAACAATAATAATCAGGTTTCTGTTGTCATGAATGCTCAACTATAAGTGATAGAAATATTAGTAGATTATAAATTTAAGATTGTGCAACTTTGGTGTGCATGTTATGCTTTACCGTGAAATTGTTCTACACAGCCTATATAACCATTGCTGTTTATTTCTGCAACAGGCACCATTGCCATTCACGCCACGACAAATAACTTGCAAGGTATTTCAAGTTTCTTTAATCTGTAGCTGAAATTATCAAAATGAAATGTTATCTGAAGAAACCAATGCAGTGTAGATTATTAATAATTTTCTAAGAAAGTAATGTTCTGATTATGTTCTAATGATGCAATTAAGTGCAGATGAATTATAAAACATAATAACATTGTCTTGTTTTACTCTCCAGAGAATATTGCAATCAAGGGAAAGGCTGTACAGTCATCTACGTTTTACTTCCAGGCAAACAATGCCATTGATGGTATTGATTTGTACTGCACTCACACTGAAACCGAGATGAACCCATGGTGGAGGCTGGATCTGGTGGATCTACAAATCATTCAAGAAGTGACTGTCACTAACAGGATGGACTGCTGCTTTGAACAAATTAACGGAGCTGAGATTCGCATCGGAAACTCCCTGGAGAACAACGGCAACAACAATCCCAAGTGACGAAAAATTTGCCTTTACTTATATAAATGTAACAATTTAAAATGGATATTTGAACATGTTGCACAATATGATGTAAATGGATTTTAAAAAAGAGATTGAGACTTTTGCTGCTATTATATTGCTTAAGTTCATGCAAAACGATTAATATTTTATATTCTAATTGTATAATAAATCATATTTATATAAAGTTTTTTAGCTCTCTCTCTCTCTTTCTCTCTCTCTAGATGTGCAGTAGTTTCTGGTATTCCAGCAGGTCAATCAGTCTCTTACTCATGCGGTGGAATGCAAGGCCGTTATTTGAATGTGGTCATTCCTGGAGATTCAAAACAGCTCTCTCTATGTGAAGTGAGAGTCTATGGAAATGGTAATTCTTGACACCTACAAATTTATATACATTAGGACTGTAATTTTAATGTGTTAATCTAATTAATTATTTATGGAAAACCTATGCATAACCTAAGCTTCGCTACGCAGACCGATTGGTGTATGACAACAGTCCCACGAGAGTGACTTAAAAGCATATGAATCCGTCTGCTCTCTATAGCTCTCACGGTTCTTTGATGTCATACACGATTGGTCTGCACTCTGCAACACCGCTTCAAGTCCCACACAGCTATACAGTTGATCAGTGATGAACATGATGCAAGGCAACAACTCACTTCATGTTGTAGGACATTATAGGGGCATGAAATCGTGTAAAGAAATATCAAACAAGCAGCGTGTTCAGTTCCACAGTGCTTTTTTTGTCCCGGATAGCAAATATGAAATTGATGTTATACAACACTTCAATAAATCAGAACTGAACCTTGTTATATTTTAGACACAATATTGACTGTTTTTGCTCAAATTTGCCAAGGCATTTTACCTATTAAAGCCACAGCAGAACTGTTTTACATCTCCAAGCCGGACACATTGGTGATTCATTTCTGAATGGGAGCCAATCATTCAATGGCCCTTTCATAAAGAGCCATTTACTTCTTTCCTGAATTAATCAGCCGTCTGAACAAATTGAAGGAATTAATGTTTTCAGTTTCTTATTTAGAGTATTGTTTTATAAAAATTAAAAAAAAATCCTATTTCCATATTAAAAAAATGTGAACATAAAAATACTTGTATTAATAAAAAAAATAATTAAGGGGAAAGTTCACCCAAAAAAGAAAAAAAGAAAATGAAAACATTTTCTGTCTAAAGCTACTTTTTGTAATGTCTATTTGATGCTTTTCTCATTTACCACAATAATGCAACAATTAATGTGTGATTAATTCGAATTATTAATCGCCACATGGTGTAATTAATCAGATTAAAATGTTTACACATTTGACAGACCTAACATATATTATATAGTTTATATTTATACAGTTTAGAATGAAATCATTCTAATATGCTGATTTGTTGAAACATTTCTGAATAGTATCAATGTTGAAATCAGTTGTACTGCTTGATACTTTTGTGAAAACAACTTATTATTTAGTTATATTAAATTGTAAAGCTGTTTTTACTGTATTTCTGATTAAATAAATGCAGACTTGACTTCTTTCAAATACATTAGAATATCTGAATTACTCCAAACTTTTGCTTGGTAGTGTATGCTTGCTTGCTTAATTTGATGTTAACTTGCTTAAATGTAACCTAACATAGAGCTTGAACACTTTCTAGATAGCGTGAAATTAAGTGGTCGTGCTGTTCAGTCTTCTGTACTTGAATACTATCGGGCTGATCGTGCCATGGATGGAATAAAACACGCCCTGGGTCCAGCGTCATTTTGTACTCATACAAATTCGGAGACGAATCCATGGTGGAGGCTAGATCTGCTGGATAATTACTATACTAGCACTGTGATCATCACAAACAGAGCCGACTGCTGTCCAGAACGACTCGACGGAGCAGAGATTCGCATTGGAAACTCCCTGGAAAACAATGGCAACAACAATCCCATGTGAGTAATTTACTCACGTAACTGTAAACTGAACTGTTTTAATGGTGGTCATTTGATGTGAAGTCATCTTAGCCACCAATTTACCAAAATGAAAAATAGTTCAGAATTGCCATGAGAGTGTTTTAGTGGCATGTTAAAATTAATTAATTAATTCATTATAATACTCATAATAATAAAATTAATTGTTAAATGAAAGATACAAGATTAAATTCGTAATATTTTGAGAATAAATTCAAAATTATGAGAATATAAAGTCTTAGAAATATGAGATATTAAAACTGTTAGCGATATAGTCTGAGAGAATTATGTAATTTGCAGTGCATTATGGGAGCGGGCAATCGCTGCTGTGCTTTTTTGCAGTTATTTTTGTTTCCATTGCTTAACAACGTTGCTCCAGTTTTATACATTATCATTATGTAAATGAGATTTATGCTCCCCGCTGTTCCATTCTGTACTGTTCAAGAAATATCCGCCATTAGTTCATTTGAATAAGATCCCATATTTCCAGATTTGCTCAACAAGCCGGTGTGGTGCTTTATTTCAGTCTACATTAATTCGGTGTGAAATGATTGGTGTGTTTTCCATCATCTCTTTGACTCTCTCTAGATGTGCTATGATTACTAGTATTCCAATAGGAGCATCCCACAGCTACTCGTGTCCCGATATGGAGGGACGTTACGTGAACATCATTGTTCCTGGAGATAGGTATCTTACGCTCTGTGAGGTTGAAGTCTATAGGGGTTTTCCAGGTATGTATTTAAATACATTAATAAATACACGCACATATACACTGTGAGGGGGAAACATTTGCATTTGTGTTGTACTTGTAGAAGACACGATAACTGCTTCAAACGTAAGTTCACAGACATTTAGGAGCAAAAGTGTTCCTTTACAACAGTTTAACCCTAAATTGACACAGTTTTGTGTCGCACAGCCTTGTTTTCACTGAAGTTTGAAGTGTATCTTGCTAAAAGTCAAGAATCTCAATTATCTCTCTTGTAAAACTCATTCCATGACTTGTGTGTGTTCACTTATTGTGTGCATTTGTATTTTTTAGTGATAAACTTTGTGAGGATGAAATTTGCCTCCAATACTGATTTAGCTGGCCCAGAGAGTGACAAACTCCTCTATCAGGTTAGAAAGAGCATGCATACCAATTCATTATCTGAAATTAATGAATTTATGAAACAAGCTAGCAATCTTCACCTGATCTGCTCAGACCATCAAAAAGTTTAAAGAAACATCTGAATACACCTCTTCCAACTAATCAACTGTAAACAAAAGCACTTATATTTAAAGTCCCCTTGTAGTGAAAATCAAGTTTTTTATGTTGCTTATTTGTCTATGTGGTGTTTTTAATTTGCTTTTAGACAAACCATGTGCCAATCCATTACTGAGTAATTTCTCCTTTAAACTGTAGTTTTCCAATGGCAGTCCCAGAAACGCGGTTTTAAACAGCCCTCGGTTTGCTACGTCACAAAATTCAATAACCAATCACGTCAAGGGATAGATTCCTATCATTAGCATATCCCTCTCTCCATTTATACAAACATGGCGCACATGGAGATCATAGCATAGAGATCACATACAAAATATACCAATAGGATTACCAGCACAAAACCCAAAATAAAATAGAGCAAAATACCCAGGAAGCTGTGGTTTAATGTGAAGTTAGAACCGCTAACTTGAATAATAACCCAATGTACAACAATTAACCACATGAATTAACATTTACAACAATGTAAAAGTAGCCCAGAGTCAGACCCACCTCTCCCGCACTCGCGTCAAGAAACACAAACTTGGCTGCATTCGAGTCTTCAAGGCATTTTGAGGACACAACATCATCAAGTAAATAACTTTAACGACTGTTACAGTATCCACTGTAGTTGTCTGCTTGTAAAAACATAGTTTAATCAGTCATTATCCGTGGACCAGGAGGCCCTGGCTGGTGTGACTGAGTGGAGGTGGGGCTAATTTGCGTGTTCATAGATCCGCATATAGTAAATAAGGCAAGGGTGTAGAGTTACATTCAAGCTATTTTAAGACGTGAGAAGATTATTTTCACAAGTAAAAAAAATTAAAATATGTAATTTAGATGATTTTTAAGGGATACAATTTTTGACTTCAGGGGGACTTTAACTCCTGTTCTAATTGTGATGTTCCTCAATTGTATAAAAGCATGTGCTGAATGAATCACTGTACAATGTAAAAGTGCTGCTCAGACTGTTAAAATCAGACTGAGATCAATCAGCTGCTGTACAGATTCATTTCATAAATGCTTTTTATTTGGAGAAATAGCATGTTTAAAAGTTCAAAGGACTCATCTGAAAAAAAATAAAATAAATATATATATATATATATATATATTAGGGATGCACCAATACCACTTCTTTTCAGAATGAGTCCGATACCGATACTGATACCGATACCTGTATTTTCACAGCATTTGCATTTTTTTTTTTTATTGGGTACAGAGACAAAATAATATTATTATTAGTATAGGGTACTATTTTGGTGGTGTAATTTGCATCACGCGCACTGTACGCAGACCCTCGCGTATGAGTAAAAACGTCTCGGGTTACTTGCGTAACCCCAGCCCGGACATCCAGGAAATTTCTGCAGTGACGCGCCGGGGGCCTGATAATCACAAAGGCTCCCGCAGAAGCCTGTGTTATGGCCGCATGATCCAGGAATTATGAAGCCGAAACCCGGCTTTACTTACCAGCGGGGGTGCCCATCAAGGAACTACCCTAGAAAAAGGGACATAAACACACAGGTCCCGGGAAACACTGCAAAGACACTAGCAGAAGGGTACATACTCATTCTCCTCCGTGCCTCAGCAGCGGAGGGTCCTGAACCGCGGGAAGCAGATGGCTGCCCCTCTTTCCTCGAAAAGAGAGACAAACGAGAGCGGAGCTTTTTTTTTGTGGAAAAAACGCTCGCAGTGCACGCCGATTGCCCCCTCGGAGACATCGCGTGCGTGCTCTTTGCCCAAACAAAACAACCCATAGATCGTGTGTGTCATCAGATGTTAAACAACGTCGACACGGATGCACACATCCTTAAACGCTTTGCTAGTGCTCGCCATAATGCTTAGATGAATAGATCGCTCTTACCACAGAAATGCACGCTTCAATCAAAACAGTCAATGAAGACGAAGAAGAGAATGATGTGTAGCTCCCGGCGCCGATTTATACTCTAGTCGCACCGGTAGTGACGTCATGGCTGTCGCCGGCCAAAGAGTTGGTGTTTTTTCAATGTATGCTTCAGACACGGGTCACGACGAGGCGTTCCCCATAGCGACCCCTAGAGGACGCAGTTCAAAGTTCCCATGAAAGGGAACCAAAGTATACTTTTGAAGCAAGCTAAACATGCACAGCGCGCGCACGTTTGTATTGGTGCAGAATGAAAGACACTTTGCATTTCACACAGTCTGCACGTTTCACTTTTGCTTTAAAAAAAGTCATGGATGCTTGACGTTTAAAATGTTGTTTAGTGAATGTGCCTTTAATTTTTGTTTATTTTATATTTATGATTTAGTTTTAACTCCATTCAACTCTCTGTTGTCGGTGTTTCTTTTTCTGGCCTCAGCTCTATTCACACGCTGTGTGGTAGCGGCTTTTGGTATCGGGGCCTTTTTAGGAGTACGTGTATGAGTACAGGAGCACAGTGTCATCGGTGCATCCCTAATATATATATATATACACTGAACAAAATTATAAACGCAACACTTTTGTTTTTGCCCCCATTTTTCATGAGCTGAACTCAAAGATCTAAGACTTTTTCTATGTACACAAAAGGCATATTTCTCTCAAATATTGTTCACAAATCTGTCTAAATATGTGTTAGTGAGCACTTCTCCTTTGCCGAGATAATCCATCCACCTCACAGGTGTGGCATATCAAGATGCTGATTAGACAGCATGACTATTGATTTAGACAGATTTGTGAACAATATTTGAGAGAAATAGGCCTTTTGTGTACATAGAACAAGTCTTAGATCTTTGAGGTCAGCTCATGAAAAATGGGGGCAAAAACAAAAGTGTTGCGTTTATAATTTTGTTCAGTGTATATATATATATATGCTATATATATATTATAGTTCCAGTCTGCTCTGGAAGTAAGAGGGATCACCAATATCAAACTGTCCTGGACCAAACCTCCCCAGCAAGAGGTGAAACGGGACGTAGAGGAGGGTAAGCACATTTACACAACCCAACTCTTGAAAAACATTATTTGGTTAAGGTACATCATTATTATTTGCTACATAATTAGCCATCTTAATGTGCTTCCTTTACAGGTCCGTGTCAAAGAATCCAATAAACTGGATACACAAAATGTCTTCAGAGAGAAACAAAAGTTTCTACATTGATTCTTCAAATAAAATTAATAAATATAATACAGCCAATAAATTGCCGTTCATGTTCTACAATAACTTCCTTTTCTGAATTTCAATGATTAGTATAGATCTGTCTTTCTCTCAAAAAGTGATCACAAACCAACACAGTGGGGCGCTAAATAAAGCATGACTGCTTCTCTGTATATCACTGTTCATTAATGAAGTGTTTAGTATCAGAATGTGTAATATACATAGATGCAAACTCCTCACCTTTCAGTGACAACTCACCTTTTTGACATCAATAGGTCACCTATGAGATTTGTGTTTTTATAGGGGTGGGGGTCTTACAAGGGTACTTGTGATCTTACAAGGGTAAATAAAGAACTGGTTGTTTCCATATGTTTTGTATAGTATTTTGTTTACTCTTTAATTCAAAATCTATGTCTAAAAAGGTCAGCGTTGCCGTCTAATCAGCCAATATTGTCTTGAATAGCCTGCATTGCACTTCATCTTTTATAACATGGGATTTTGACCAAATGTATTCAGTCTTGATTTTTGTAAAATGTTGCAACAAGATTATTATTTATTTATTTTTATTTTTTTGAATGACAGTTTTGGACATATAAGGTAATAAAAAAGTTGTTCAGCCATTTTGACAGCCCTAGTAACTAGTGCATAAGGTGGAAACGCAACAAAAGCCCTAAACTAGTTTCGGAAACTATAAAAAAAAAATCCTCAGGCTGTTTCATAAAGTACTAAAAAAAGTGGGGATTAAAGTCCAAAACCTGACTTCAAATAACCTAACAAATCAATCGGGGCTAAATGAGTTTCATAAACTACAATTTAAATTCACGCAATCTCACTAATGTGATCTAGATTCAATTAGTCAAGATAATTTGAAGTGCATGCTTATTCTTAAGCAGCCCTTAATGTCGAGCATGGATCAAATCGATCCACCGTGGCAAACAGCAAATATAGTTGTGATGTTTAATGCATTTGAGACGTTGTGCTTTCCCCAGTGCATAACTGACATATTCTTCATCTGTAAATATTAGAAAGTCATGCAAATTGTTGTATAATTCCGTACTTAATGAACCAATAATCCTCATATATACAGTTTGCCCCCCATCTGTAGCTGTCATAAGAAAATACAGCCCCTACCTCTCATTAGTGGGAAGTGTAATGCAAAGTCCGGGGTCCACAGCGAAACGTCCTGACCAGCTCAGCAGGGTTTTCGCCACTATGAGGTCCGCACTGGAGATTTATGAACTAAATTCAGATAATGTGTTACCCTTAATAAATTACTCAGAGTCTGTATTAAAAGAAAGTTTATCGAATCACCATATACAAATGGTTTCGCTTTATTAAAAACAATAACTCATAAGCAAAATTCAAGAAAGTAACAGCGTATAGTCTTCACCCATTTTTCGGCCCCGCAAAATCATAAAGCACTTGATTATATAGGAGAGGGCGTTACAAAATTCCTCTCCTGCAAAAGCATCTATTCAAACACTCTATTGGATAAATGCAAGACACACAAAACACTTGGTCACACCCCTTGTTTCAGCGAGTTGCAATTCCATTACATCATCACACTAAGCACTGCATATACACGTACGTACATCTCCAAAAATATATGCGGAGAGGTTCAAACAAAGTTTATCTCCGATTCGCTAACACAGGATGTCTGACCTTTTTATGCTACCCACAACTATGGATCTACTCCACTACAATGCAGCAACACCTTTGCAAAAATATACGAGCAGGTTTTCACACCATAACATTTTTCATTTTT